ATTTTATTTTTTATTGAAATTATTGCAAATGTATCGTTACTTCCGCAATGCAGGAAAAAGATTATATCGATTTTCATGAGATGTAGCATATGTAATTCCCGATTTTGGGGATTGAATTAAATAAAAATTTTATTTCTATCGCTGCGACAATTCTGTAATCCGTACAAGCGTAATGTAGAGCGTCTTTGTGCGCTGTGGTACTTACTTCTGCTTCCCCTGGGAACGCTGAGATTGGTGAATAGCCTAAACTACTACGGAACTGCCGCGTAGTTTAAGAAGTATCGAATGTAATAGGCAAATTCGCGCTGCCGGGTTCCCGCGTGTCGCGGTCTCACCGCGCTCGCCAACATTGTACATCACTAGCCCCGTGAGAAACCGATTCTGCATACTGCGCGTGCGAAATCAGAACGCCGGTCATTAAACTCAATCGGTAAGCGGCCGCAGGCGACCGATGACACCGCCGAATTAATTCAGCTGGCACATTGCACCTTTGTGATTCCGACCGTTTGCAAAACATTTTGCATTTTACACATCCGTTCTAAGTTTCTTCCAAATCGCACCGAATGTGCGATTCGAATCCTAACGGGAGTATGAAACGTTTGAGGGAATTGAACTGAATGAGTTTTCGCGAACGATGAAAATTGAGCGAAACGATTCATTTTACGTCGACGGCGCGAGCTATTCGCGCTCACCGTCCCGGCATATAATATCGACAATAAGCCGCGATTTAGCCAGTGTCAAGTCTGATGCGCCATAAAATTCCTTCCCCTCGCGCCGTTTATATTGAGTTCCGCCGGGGGCACGAGCGTCAGGCGGACGTCTTGCTCTTCCATTAAGATAGACATCCCTCCCCGCCGCCGCGCCGGGGAAAGCTCCGTAGGAATTCGACGGCGTGAATGTGCCGCGGTCTGATAGCCCCGGAATGCCTGACGAAGGGGAGACCGCGCGGAATGAGTGATAATAAAAATCGCGCCCCGTACACGCGCACACGCGCCGGAGTGCCACGCGCGCGTACGTATACGCGCACGTACACATCTGTCAATCCGCAGTGGAATGCTACCGTTGATGGTGTCAGAATTTGCGGAATCCGACGGCGCGGACACGAAATTTTAATAACCGATCCTCGAATTCTGTCCGAGCCTCGTCGTCCACGTACGTATCTAAGTGTGCGCGCGCGATTTTTACGTCGTCGCGACGTGCCAGAGTTGGGAGACGTTCGTGCGTCTTCTCGCAAATGAGTCGCTCTATTTGCCCGTCTCAACGAGCGAGAGGCGAATACTTGCCTTTGTGCCGCGCGACCGGCTCGCATGATCCCCCGGACTCGCACGAGAATACGATCGAGCTCCGGGTATATACACGTGATCGCGATACGTATCTCGGCGCCATGGCCGCGGCCACGTAAATAGGTCAGTTATATACGGATCGTCGAGCCACGATGCCGACATGGCATCGTACTCGGTTCACGGTAATGACGCATATATATGACGGATCTCTGTTTAAACATATGATACATATGTATCAAATCGCTAACGCGCGAACGCGTTTCTTTCGCCGGTTGTATTTTTTTTTCTCTCCCGCATATTTTTCTGCGGGTGACCCGGTTTTCCGGCAACGGGCGTATTTACGCGCGATTATTGGGACGGACAATCTTCACTTATGATCGGTACACACATCAGATAAACTTGTCCCGCTCGTGCTGAAAAATAAACACAACGGGGAACATAAAAACGAGTTAAAACTGTCGTTTGCAAAAACCAAATGTTTGTTTGAAGCCCCGGGTTCGATATTTTTTCTGATGAATAGAAGTGTCAGGGAGGATGCCTGAAACGCGGGCGTGGAGGGACGCCTTTGTCATCGGGATTCGATGAGACGGGGCGCACACCAATTCGCGATAACGAGATGCATGAGTTGAGTTATAGATTCGCATTATGCCGGCCCGCATGGATTTCCCTCTGCCAACGGCCGTGACGTATCGCGCTCGCAAGTTACCGCGCACGGCAACTTCGTCATAACGCCGAGGGCTGACGTTAATTTAACGTTAGCCCGCGCGCAATGGAGGAACTAATTATAAAATGCATTTATATACTCCGGCCGTTTTCGGATTCTCGCTCGTCGGTAAAATTCCGCTGTTCGCTCAACATCGACCGTATATATATCTTTTTGAGGATGGCTAAGGGCGCGAAAGGAGCGCCAGCGTTTGAGAAATTCTGGACATGTTATGAAAAATATTTCTCACAAATTAACCGGAGTCGGATTTAATTCTCATCAGATTAACATAACAAACGTCCGGGCATGTACAATTTCTCTTTTATATGGTATGTACTATATTAAAAAGAACTACTCCCGGGAGGTGAGGTGAAAAAATAAAAGAATGATACTCGGGCTCATCAGCTAGACTCGCTTTGGTGCGCTCCTGATTCCCATCATAAAAACCTCACATGGCTCTCATGGCGACGGTGGCAATTTTCGCGTTCCCGTGCCTGTCGCACGGAGCGTGTAAGGCCTGTGACACGTAACTTTTTACGACGGGGAAAATAATCTCGGGCAATACATTTACGGGTGCCCGTCTCTCACCGATACACCGACATTGCTCGGGCGCATAATTTCGCTCCTCCGCTCTGCGCAAACTTATATTTACGTTATGCGAATATAAAACCGTGGCGGGGGGGGGGGTGTAATGACTCCTTATCGGGAACGTGAGTCGTCGTCGTTGCCTCGATTATTAAAAGCGGCAAATTTAATGAGTGGCCGTTAGAGCGGGCGCGAATAAAATCGGGGAAAGTACGAAGGGGTGACGGGCGGGGAGAGGCGCGCAACTTGCCGCCTCTGTCATGAATAATCGCGAGATATAAACTCCGGGATCAAGCGGGGAAAACGGAAGAAGGATGGCCGAGGATTATTACGCGGGGACCGGCGCGTCGTGTCGCGAAACGAATGAAAGACACGATAAAATATATCGCATAAATACTCTTCGACGTCGATGAGGAGACGGGGGGAGAGCGATCGGGCTGTCGTACCGCCGCGAAGGAGACGGGCATCTCCCGATGGCAGCGAAGGGTGCGAAAGGGCAGGAGCGTAGCGATACCACGCCCGCGTTATTATACGCCAAGTTAACGACAAGATTGTTTCTCAAAGTTAATTTACATCCACCGGGGGCCCTGTCGTAAGAGAAGAGGCAGCGTGTGCCGATACCTTCTCGCGCAATCTCGCCAAATTAATATTCCGTTCTATTCGGGGAGAGAAATCTCTTCAACGATGAGAGACGACGCGACGTATCGTCGACGAGAGCTCCGCAAACAAGACGGAATAACAGTTGGGTTTGGTTGACGTACGCGCCCGAAATGGCGACGTCGCGATTGCTTATCTTGGGATGCACCCGCCTGTTTGTCTGCGGGAGGCTTCACGCATGAAGGAGCGCGTTTGCGTTATTATTACGAAAAGTGGTGGCTGCTGAATGAATTACACATGTCTTTGAAATTATTACATTATTTGTAGCGATATGTCTGCGGTCACGATTAAAAAACCAATTAAATTTTGTAACACGATTATTAGTATAGATAGAGCGACAGTAGATGGGTCAGACACAGTAGAATAATAGATGATCAGACGAACAGGATTAAATATTGAATTTAGAACGATTTAAACACATTAGAATTATGGCAGCAGATTGTTACGATTGTTATAATATTAACACATTTTAAAGTGAAAGAGATACTTTCTGTTAAACGTGAAAAGCATAAAAAGTATGTAAAATTATAAGTAGATGTAAAATTAGACTATAAATTTGATATGTCAGTTTTCAATAATGAATCGTTATCAGATCTCCATCATCTTATTTTAGAGAGCTTTATAATTATATTTTCGGTGTATATGATTATGTCTATATTCGGTAATATAATTATATCCATACCAATGATAGATGGAACTAATAATATTAGCGAAAGAATAAATATAGACCGTACGATTTTCTCCTCCGCATAATTTTGGCAGAAGTTATAATTTTCCGTTTTAATCCCCCCCTCGCAGCGCGAGGATACTTTGAATTTTAAAGCGTGCCATTGGCGATTCATTTATTCGCGCGAACACGAGATACACGTTTCAACGGCCATACAAGAATGAATGCTAAACATCGAGCGTAAAAATATCGCGATTGTCAGCGACGCGGTGACGACGGGTTATATTCCGCGAACGGGAACGCATGCGAAAACGTATCTCGCGCTTTCACGCTTTTCCGAGAGCTTTCACGACAGCTGCCGACCAAGTCGCTCGCAAACCATGCCGTACGCTCCCTCCCTCCCCCTATCGCCCCATCCACCCTTCCTCTCAACCCTCCCGCGCGGCCACCTTTCGTGCCTCCCGAGGGGTTCGTGCCATGCCCCGGCGCTTTCACACACGCGAATATTCCGGAGTCGGAGGAGATCGACACGGCTCCCCGAGAGCGCGCGCGACTGTATTATCGAGGGATGCAAGTCGCGTGTCGATGGCATGCCTTCGTGGCTTCGAAATCGACGCAGTATGGCGATGAAATTCGAGAGGGATATCGAAAGCCTCCGCGTATATACTCCTTACTCCATTGTCGGGGTGCGATCAGATACGTACACTCGCGCGGTGGTAAACACGAAAAGCATAGCGTAGCGGGGGGAGGGGGGAAGGGGAGGGGACAATTAACTTTCACAATATTATTTGCCTTCTCTTTATATATAAATCTAGGCGCGTGGAACTAATCAATGCGCTAATGTACGTGATTAATTCCCGCCGCGCCGGCTCTCTAATGGGCAATATAATTAGATAAATAAAGCCGGCGTGTTTAGTTCAGCGCAGCGAGGTATCGACGACACAGAAATGAAATGTCATGGTGTTCGTATCCGCGTAACGCAAAGCGCGCGCGTCACGAACGCGCACGCACAGCACGCGCGCCCCGCGTGCGTGCCCCGCGCGGGCTCGCGAGGCGTCGCCGGGGACGCTACGTACTACGACTTGACTCAACGAGCTTCTTTCAGGAAACATCAGCGACTCGCACTACATCACGTACATGACAAGTAAGTACAAACAACGCTCTCCCGTAACCCGGGGGGGGAGAGGGTGGCGAGAGCGCCCCCGATGTTATCCGCCCGGCTAACATCTAGGGCGCCGCTCGCGCTCGCGCACACGTAGAACCCAACGTGGAACGAATGCGGACCCGTACGCGGCTCGTTGGCAAAAATACACTCCCCCGTGCACGATGAAGAGGGAGGGAGGGAGGGAGAGAGGGGGAGGAGGAACGAGGTCAGAAGAAGTGGACCTCGCGCACGTAACATCGATCAGGCTCGGAATCGGGCGTTTCGAGACACGCGCGGCGTGTAAGGGGCCGCCACCGCAAGCCGAAGCCGCTCCTTGCCGCCCCGCAAATCGGCCTCTGTTTTCGCGCACGGACTGCTCAATTTCACCCTGCAGGGGTTAAGGGGTGAAGTGGGGCAGGGCCGGTATCTAAATTTCAAATCCACTAATGTGTATTTTTGCCCACGGGTCTCTCGCGGCCATTCCGCGCTCGTTCTTCGTCTCTCGCCTATCTGTTTACTCTCTCTTACCCACCCGTTATCGGCCGGCTTTTCCCCCCCTCGAACGCTTTGAATTTCAAATTCCGCGCGACCACCGTGTCGACCGTCGCGGCAACAACCGACTTTCGAGTGTTTCCACCCGCTTATGCGCTGTCATTTGTTTCCGCTCTCCCCCTCCCTCCCCCACTCTCTATACCCGGTCCGGTTATACGTAACAGACATCGCGATCTACGGCGCGGTATCTCTGGTTTTATCCCGCACTTTTATTTATGGCGCCACCCGGTATGTATCAGAATTGATTCTGTGATTTATTTCACGGCCGATAGCGACGCGGGTACGCTGCCCAGCCGGCACGAGAAGGCGAATTTCGAGACTGCGTTTCGATCTCCTTCACCTCACGAGCGTTGCGTGCGACGTAACGATTACGTTATAATTTTCTCGCGTCTGCCTTACGCGAGGTGGGGTGGGGGGAGGGAGGGGACGGGGTTGCAGAAGTCTATCCGTACGCTCGTTCTCTCGTATACGCGCTCCCGAGGCGCCTCGAGGCGCTCGCGTAACAGTCGCCGATTGGAGTACCGCGTAACGAGAAGCGAAAGCGAGATACCGTCTTTTCCGGGGGAAAAATAACACACTCGAGCATTACGCTAATGCGCCGTTTTAACGGCAATGTAACTCCGACGTTATCGTCGACTAATCTTCTGTCGGCAATGTCTTTTAACGGTTCTTGCCGGTCTTCTTAATGCACGGGACTTTGCACCTAATTGCACGCTACGGCCCGACGATCGCGAAAGTTCCTCCGCGTTGCTCCTCGCGCGAGCAACGGCAGGAGCAAGAAAGTCCCAACCTCCCCCCCTTCCCCCTCTCCGCCTTCAGTTGGAAGGGATGAGAGGAGGCACGACCCCCGGCTAATTGAAGCGCAATTAACCGCGTTAAAACGCCAAGTGCTGATTAGGGCGCTACGTCTACGTCGCAGGGCGACCTACTAATCTATGCGCATACGTGACGGCGGTGGTTCTTGCGTAAATTGAAAGTCGTCCTTGCCCTCTCATCGCTCGGCAAGAGTGCACTCGACCGCTGAAATTCGCCGAGGTATTACCCTTCATCCTCCCTCGACCCTCGACGCCGTTAAGTGCACCGTCTATGAGTTTCTAAACGACGATTGGGTTAAAGAAATGGGAGCGTTTATACGAGCGATGAAAATAAATTTATATGATGTAGGAATCAAGAGTGCGAGATCCTCCATGGTAAATGGCACAATCGATTAATTTCAGAATAAAATTAATGGGTATTGTTCTTTTATTATCCTTTTATAATATTCCCTTAAACGGACAGTAAAGTAATTAAAGCGCAAAAATATAGCTTATAATGAGGGAAAGATTTAATAATAATTGCGTAACTTTAATAACTGCAATTATCCGTAAATCTTCTTCATCATAGCTTTAAAACTCAATCATTAAATAACTATTTTATATTTTATATTGAGTACGTTAAATATTCGAAAATTACTTGCCAAGTACATGGTATTTTTTTAACTGATTAATAAATTAATGCTTTAGAATTAACTATAAAATCATATCCTTATAGGTCATGCACGTAGAGAATTTTTTTTAAATTTATCCTGAAAATCGTGGGACAACATAGTATTTCGACAAATTTTATGTGATTTTCTCTGTTTTTTTTACTGTGTAGGTACTACAATAATTTTTGTTGTATAGTACATAATAAAAAAACAAAGAAAATCACATAAAATTCATCGAAATACTATGTTGTCCCACGATTAACATGATTTTCAAGGTAAATTTAAAAAAAAGTTCTCTCCATGTGTAATCCACAAACAGAAAATAATTACAACAAATCGTCGGGATTCAATTTTTATATTCGATAAAACGACAAGTACCTAAGCAATGCGAACGAAGTTTCGGACGGGTATAATTCGCATGTTTTACAAAAGGAATACGCGTGGCGTTGTTTCGGGATTAGATAATTCAAGAAAGACCTCGAATGCGCGCGCGACGGGGCCTCGTGAATATTCACAAGTTCGCCGAATTGCGGGGACTCTCCCACTGAGACTTCGATTGTTCTCTCCGGTCGCCGCAAGAAGCTTCGCCGCTGCCGCCGTCGTCGTCGTCGTCGTCGTCGTCGTCGTCGTCGTCGTCGTCGTCAAGACACTCGGAGAAACGCGAGAGCGGCTAAGAAACGTTAATTGCGCCGAAGACGCCGCTGAGACGCCACCACGAGAGAACAGCCGTAGGGACCCCGTCACCGTCGCCGTCGCCGTCGCTGTGATTTTACAATGAGCCCGAAGACGACGGTGGATGATCGCGTTTGGTTGGTCGGATTCGCCAGTGGCGGGATGCGGCGGAGGGACGTTTGCGCGGAGAGGGTGTACCTACCTACTTATTTAGAATATTGTCGGCATACATCTGCATAAATTCAGCGCAGGCCCTTCGACATTCGCATCGCACGCCCGCCGAAACCCCACCCGGACTTGCCACCGCTCTTAAGTCGGGAAGAGAGGGAACGGTCGTTCGACACGGGGGCTGTGTGTATGCCGCCCTCCCGTCGTTCCGCAGCCGCCATCAGCATCATGCCGCTCGTAAAGAAATCCCTCGTGACGCCGCTTGAAAGCTTCCGCGCGGGTAAAAAAATTCGAGGCGCGTCGAGCATTATAAAAATATCTTCGTCGCGCGGGCGTGTATTATCGCGCGCGCGGGAGAGATTAAAGTATCCCGGCAAATGTGCTCGATAACCGATGTGATCCATTCCCGACGGATGCGGGAAACGCACGCGCGTCGTAGAGACAGGGGTTGCGAGATATAAATGAAAAAAGAAACGCCTCAAGACCATGGCGTGTCAAGACAAAACGGGGGCATGATGAGAAGGAGTGATAGATTCTCTTGTAACGTAATATCTATACTACATAAACGAGAGAGAGAGAGGGGGGGGGAGGAAGAGAGGAAGAGATACAACCCGCTGTATATGCACGCGGGAATTACGCGAGCCCCGATGGGAACGCGGATGTGCGCGCGCGGCCAACTCGCGCCGCAGGCCCTGGTATACATATTCAAATTGAATTATACGCGCTACCAGACGCGTTGATTCGAAATCATTCGACGGCTTGGTATCTCGAAAACAAGCCAGTATCGCCGAGCCTCCCCCCCCCCTCGCGTCAGCCCGCCCGCTCCGTCCCCGTGTGAGTTTCCGCTCAACGGGGCTGTCGTTTCCTATCCTGACTAATGGAAATTCTCTGCGAGAAGTTGGTTAAACGCATTCGCTTTGCATACGTATCGGTGCGGCAGTTGTTGTTGTGCTATCCCGTACGACTTGGTGCTCCGATGCATCGATGGCGCCCATCGAGGAATTTGAGAGTCGCGATTTGGTCTCGTGGTGTTGTCTCGCCGATGCCCTCGACGAATTCCGATTCGGTCAGCGGCGAAACATAATTGATGCATCGGGACACAACGGGAATCAGAATTTCTCGCGAATTCGCGAGTCTGTCTGTTCAATAAATGAACCGTAGATCAGAATGGAGAGACTGGAAGAAAGAGAGAGGGTGGAAGACGAAAATAAGGGAAATATTGCATTAAGAAAAATTCGAAGTGGAACGCCACAACAGACAATGATTCGCATTGTCGGCGGTGTAACATCGCGGATGCAGAAGAGCTTGAGACGCGTCGGGTCGAGACTCGACTCGCGGAGCCCTGTATTCACCTCTTCCCGGTGAGGGCGCGGACGAGTGAATAAATTAAGAAGGCACCAAGCGCGCAGGAAGAGTAACGAATCTTCCGCCGTGTCTTCTCGTGTCGCCGTAGGAATTATTCTTTCCTCCCACGCCACGCCGTTGCTCGGGCGTCGCGTCTCTCCGCCACCGTTGTTTATCTCATTAAAGGAACGCGGAAAACGGATAATCCCCCGGTTGACAAATCGCGCCCGGCGTCGACGGGGAGTCCGCTCCCCGTCCGCTCCTTTCAGCGGCGTAACTTTATCGCGGGAGAGGAAAAGAACGGACGAGGTGGTAGCGGAAGTGCCGGGCGGAAAGGGGTTTTAGAGTGCCGGCGACGTTAGGCGATGGATAGGGAAGTAACCGGGCCGCCGGGCGTTACTGGCGCGGATACCAAGCTCCCGCCGTAATGGACGCTTTAATTCCAAAGGAGAATAAATTGCAATTTTTTCCGACCGTGCGACGTCAGTCATGGCAACCGCGAGAACGAGCGAACGAACGGCCTCCCCTCGTTAGCGGTGCGCGTCAAAGAAAAATAGGGCGATCCAATTGTATACGGCGCCGTATCATATTAAAGTCTTGAAATGATCGAATTTAGTGGAAAGTGATGTTTAATGTTTGATCAGGTGAAAAACGTATCACATTTTTAGCACGAAAGGTATATAGGCACGTAATCTCGTATCTGTGTCAATTTAGCTGTGAGAAATAATTAAAAGAGCATTACATATTTTTAGCGAGAGAGTTAACGAAAATATTTTCAATGTACCTATTTTATGTCAAT